TCAATCTTGTGATATTCTGTTGACTATTTCTGCATAGTCTTGTACTTATGAAATTTTTGCATATTTCCTCATGTTGCTTCCTTTGTGCAATCTCCTCGGGGTTTCAAATTTGTTTCTGACGTCTGTTTCTTTGCAGATCTTCATCAGCCACCGAAAAATTTTTGCCAATCCTTTTTCCCAGGAATAGATCTGAAAACACTTCTTGGCCTTCCAATCCATAAACGAAAAGCCCCAGTATTACTAAACTTTATCCCTACATACAAATCCACCTTACCCGACGTTCCAAGAAAAAGGAAGAAGAGTCTTTCTCCACCCATAGCCACAACCTTAACTGCTTCTACATCCCGAACAGATCAAGAGTCCACATCTGACCCAGCCGATCTTCCATCAACTTCGGCCCCCTACTTAATACCAATTCCTGAACGTAAACGCCGAAGAAAGCTTGTAAAGACTGCCGAAATGGTTCGTCCAAGGCCTGTCGTCCAAGATCTTCTCGTCGACCTTCCAACTGACGCCGAAGCCGCACCAACGCAATCAATGCTTCCACCCAAACCAAAGAGAGTAAAAAAGGCTCAGCCTAAGGCCAAGGCTACAGATGCCGAGGCTGAGGACGCTTTGCCGATTTCTAAACTAGCAGAAAGCAAAAGATCAACCTCTACTTCAACCAAGAGGTCTGCTGAGGGCCAACCCTCAGGGTCTACACAAACAAAGAGGCCAAGGTCATCGTCTGCGACGACCTCGGCTTCGAAGAAGTCCGACGTCCCCTGGGCCCCTGATCTATCCCTGGAGGATAGGCCCATTATGGCTAGTGAAAGTGCTGACGACATTAATGTTGCTGTCGCCCTTAGCACTGCTCTTCTTCTACCAAATGACTTGGAGCGAAATGGCAAGCTTAGTGAGTATGAAAATTACGCTCTTATGCTCCAACACTCTGCTCAAGTAAGTATTTCTGCTTGTATTTGTGTTTTTTCCTTCTGTTTCTTTCTGAAAAAATTTTCTGACACTTCTGTTTTCATTCAGGCTATTCAACATGCCCATTCATTTTCAATGCAATCCTTTGAAAATCGTCAAAGGTTGGTTGATATGAAAAGGGAAGCATCTTCAATGAAGAGAGAGATAAGGGCCCTTGAAGCAAAAATGAAAAAACTGGAGGATCAGGCCGAGGCTGCAACAAAAATCCAAACTTTAGCTCTTGAGAAGGCCGAGGCTGCTGAAGCCGTAAAAAAAGTAGCTGAAGCCGAGAAAAGAGAGGCTGAGGCTAGGAAGGCCCAAGCTGAGAAAGAACTCCAGCAAGCTCTGGCCACCAAAGAGGCCGAAGTCAAAGAGGCCGATGAAAAGGCCTATGCTCAAGGTATGGCCGATGTTGCAGAAGACTACAAGCTTCAAGTCAGGCAGGCATGCAACAGGGGATTTTCCCTTGGTTGGATGTCCTTGATAAAGAAGCTTGATCTTTCTGCTGACTCGCCATTGCGCCAGGCCGACGCTATTCCTTTACCATTTCCTCCACCTCCTCCTGAAGGTGAATCAGAGTCCGAGGCCGATGCTGTGGATGAAGATGAAGAAAAAGATGATGGTGACGCCTTGGTGAGAAAACCCAAGGATGCTGCCGAAGCCAAGTCCCCTCCTCCAGCTGAGCAGGTTATGGACTTAACTTTGGATGAGGAGGGTGATGAGGTTGAGGGGGCACCCAAGGAGACTGCCACTGGGCAGCTATCGTCCAATCTTCTATTGGTAGAAAGAAGTGTGGAGAATACAATCGCAGAGATTGATGCCGAGATACAAGCGAAAAAAGTGGCCGACGAGGTTCCTCCAGAATCGTCCGAGGTCCCAGTCCCTGCAGTGGCTAACATTGAAGAAGCTTGACAAAATTGCCTTTTATATTTTTTCCTTCTTTTTCTGTACTTTGCACTTTGTACTTTTTTACTTTCTGGATAATGCAAAAAATCTTTCTTTTGGCCGACGTGGTTTCTTCAATATATAGCTGCCACAGTTCTTTCTCTGGATGTTTTGATCTTGTGATATTCTGTTTGACTGCTTCTGTATAGTCCTGTACTTAGAAAAAAATCTTTTGCCTGTTGCTTTCTTTGTGCAATCTTCTCGGGGTTACATACCTCGGGTATAACCATAAATTTTTTACTTCGGCAAGAAACTGTCCTGCAATCTTTTTATAAATTTCAACAAGTATAGAACATATAATTCGGAATGTAAACTTTTGCAAGTTTTAAGTTTCAACAAGTTTTAAACGGTTATCTTAGTCTTACTTACTTGTAAATTGCTACAAATTTCAACAAGTAATGAACAATATACTTAGCCTTTATTTTAACCTGTAACTTTCTGTATACCTCAGCGGGTGGTCATATATCGGCTTAACACAGACTTGTAAATTGCTACAAATTTCAACAAGTGTTAAGCATCTTCTGTAGGGTTTAAACAACCCACATATTGCTATGAGAACTTTAAGCAATAACTCGGCCTATCTTCGACTTGTAAATTGCTACAAATTTCAACAAGTG